AAATTAACAGAAGGACTAACGGAGTGCATTTCGTATAGTTGAGGGATCAAAAAAGTGCAAAAAATTGTTGAGGGACCAAAAATGTTCATTTCTTAAAGTTAAGGGACCAAATCAAGCATTTAACCTTTCAACAACAACTTCTCTATGATTCGTTTTTCCCATTCAAAACCCAATTCTTAGAATTCGGGTTGGGTATCCTCATAAAAAGTTCTACATTATTGGGTTTGAATCCCATTCCCCTCAATGAGCACTAGACCTTGGATTATGATCATAGATTTTCCTCCAACTTTTGTTTTTGCCAAAGGCCTAGTTGGTGGTATAGTGGGTAATGAAGAGAATTAACTCATTCTTTTTTCACACTTTTTCACATCAACCCACACATCTACTAGCTCATAAATTCACATTCATTTTTCTCAAATCCTTAATTCATAGTACCACAATTTTGATATCAAATCAAGCTAATGAACCACCTTTTTCCTTTTCATACATGTAGAGACATGTATTTAAGAATTTGTTTTTAACTCAAACACCATTGTACCTTGTTGTACAATAGGAAATTCCATCACATACCCCTTTTCTCAAATGCCTTCTTATTTTTTTTTTCATCATACACCATTGTACCATAATTGTGTAATAGGAATGCATATCACATTTATTTTGTTAAGTAACATTATACTTTATTGTATAATAAGAGTGTATATCACATTTGCTTTATCAAGCACCATTATACATTATCGTATAATAGGAATGCTATGCAAAATCTCAATTGGGCATCATTGGTCTCATCACCAATAATAATACATAGGGACATCACAATCCCTCACATTAGGAGCATCTCAAATATGTGATTCTCACATTCCTAAAATAATTGAGTTCATGAAGAAACTCATTTTCTCACAAGATTTTCATAAGAGCTTATTAGCTCATCTCACATTTTATTGCCACAAATGAACGTTTTTGGAATATATCAACCTAAATATCATGTCCATTTTTACCAAAATAATTACATGGACCAACTCAAGTAGCTTTTCACCTGAGTTCTCAAAGTTTCACCTATTTCATAAAAAAACTCAATAAAATAGTCAATTAAATGCATATATTTATTCATCATTTTTTTAACCATTAAAAATAGTAATCATCACTTTATTATATATCAATGGTGCATATTAATAACAAAATAATTATAATAGATCATACATGCTTACATGAGCATTTCTAATTAAATAGCAAAAATAAGAAAGCATCCTCAAATTTATAAAGCTTTTATATCCCAAATATATCATATTAATATATTTGCTCCACAATCACATTTAATTCAAACGGCTGGTGTGATATACTCATTCTTGACAAAACCCCCCAAATTAATATGCATGCATTAAGAGCAAACGGCTAGTTAATAATTCTTATAAATATAGCCATTATAGCACTAGTAATGGCCAAAATGCACCATTAATCTATTAATTAAGTAGCACAAACTTAATATGTATTTAATACCAAATGCTAATAACATGAAATGCTAATTTTTCCTAAGAATTGCACATAGGAGGCTGTTGAGTTTCACAAGAATTATGCATGCTTATGCTTTATGTTTTAGGCAAGCTATACAATGACCAAATACTTTCGTGTGTTTAACCCAAGAAAAATCATGAACCCATAAGTAATCATTTCAAGTTTCCATCATTTCTAGTATACAATTGGAATATTGGATAGTGATTAACTAATTAGATAAAGCATCAGATATTGCAGAAGGGTCAGAAACTCATACCTGTTTGGTGCACATATATCAAGAAAAATCAAAATTTTCTATTATGCTTACACAAGACCTCATATATTTTACTTTTGCTTTGCACATTGAATCGCCTTAAAATTGTTGTTCCTCAAACACTCTCCTCCATCTCCACATCATGTCATTATTGTGCCTCAGTCACAAGATCAAATAAAAGAATAATTAATGAACTTATCAAAAAATATCGATAAGAAAATATCATCGAAATAGGTGTGAAAAGCTTACATATTTTAAGGTGATTCACGCCTTTGTAGAGAGTAGATCAACCGATGCAGCAGAGATACATAAAGCATGTCGCCCCTAGGATGCTACAGCTTTATAATAACACTCTATGGATTTGCACTACCTATAGAGTCACCTTACTCAGAACACTCTTCTTTACCCAAAAATATTTAGAAAATAAAGTAAGGTTAGAAAGAATAGAGGAATGTTGAGGAACCTCTTTATTGAGCAAAAGGACATGTCCTATTTATAGGATTCATGGTCTTGTAACTCTCATTTGTAGGTTAATGATAGGAATAAATTGGGCCATTATTATGAAATAATGTGCCCTTAAATAGAACAATTAACTTATAATGGTTAGTTTGACTAAATCCTTAATGAGACAATAAATCTAATTTTTAAAATATATTATTTTATTTTTTATTAAAATATTTAAGTTTCAACTATATATATATATATATTATAAAATACC